CTTAACACTGCTTTGTTAAAAGTTATCAAAAGTTCATAGAAAATTAAATATGAATACAAAAGTTTGCAATGGATAATTAAAACTGACTTTTTAAATAGGAGAAACAGGATACTTTGTTTTATGTGAAATGACAATCTCAATGTATATAGATTGCAGGAAAATGCCATGAGATTCAGTGAAGGATGACAAATAATTTTTAGTAATTTGAGAACAGGAAAACGCTGAGCTGTGAATTTCAGAAACTCGGATTAGCATTGGGAATACAGAAAATTTTCAATTATTAGGATGATGTTTATAACATGTTTTGGGAGAGTTTCAGGTAATTGAACACATACAATTGAATAACATGCACATTTAAATTTTCATGGGTAACTCAATTAAATCTTTTTGCATGAGCTATTAATACATTCCAGGAGCTATGGTAGTGCTGACGGGTAAACATTGGATTTCTAACCTCGGGGTTGGCATTTCAAAACGCCCAATCACTACCCAGGAGAAAGATGTGGCTCTCTGCTCTCATCAGGACTCACAGGCTCAGAAACCCTACAAAGGGTGCCCTGGGTTGGGATCTGTTCAGTGGCAGTGGCTATTAGCACGTTCAGAGATGTCATCTGCTTATGAGCAGGCAGGGCTCTTACCCATGTTCTGTGGATGAGGAAACATTTCTGAGTTAGGTAAGGAAGTTTTGGTCTCATCATCATGATTGTGATTAAGTAGCAAAAAGTGCCCAGAGATAAGCAGGAAAACAGCTTTTTTTGAAAATAGGCTTCATAAGACTAACAGTTTCATACTGAGCTCATTAGTGTTTGGTTTTTTTTAAATTAATCTATTCTGAAAATAAGTATCTTGGGGAAATGTAAAACACATTGTAAAACTGTGAGAGAGATATATATAGTACAAATGCACACCTGGCAGAAAATGGCATCCTTTGAGATTATAAATAAGCTTTAAAGATTCTTCAGGTGATACCAGGAGCTGCCACCTTCATTGACTCAAATTCCTTCAACTACTAGTTCCAAATTTTCAAGAACCCTCATTGTACTATTCACCGAACACCTAATTGTTGTCAAAAGTCGACTCAGTGAAAATCCTTCTGCAGAATCTGCTTGTGTCTCACCCAAATAATCACATCTTTTGCTAAATGGCAACATTTCAAAGGGCACATTTGTAAGTTGGAAGAATCAGATATATGTCCTTATTTTTTGGTATGACTATAAGAAAATTCTTAATTCCTGATTTGAAGGAGCATATGTTGTATGCATTTTCCCCATTCGGTGAGCCTTGAGGAACTTGCTCTGAGTTAGTGCACTCAGTGGCATCACCTGGGAAGGTCGATTCTTTCTGGTCATAGTAATTTTTCCTAAAATCAGTTTCGCTAGAACCTCATTTTTTGTGATGGCTGATTTGAGCGAACAGCATGCGGCTGTGAAATTTTGTTTCCTGCTCATGAAAAATACCACAGAAACTGTTGTGATGTTGAACACAGCGTACCAGGACAATGCTATGGGGAAAAAAGTGTATGAGTGGTTTTCTCATTTCAAAAAAGGTGAAATGTTGATTGAATGTTGATTGATGACAAACCTCATTCTTGACATCTGTCACCTTCCGGACCGAATGAAAATGTTGACTCAGTGCATTTACAGTTTGGTCCACCAGGTCAGACTGTCAATCAAGCTTTCTATTTAGAGGTTATGAAAAGATTGTGTAACAGTGTGCAAGAAAAAAAGGCCCGATTTGTAGCAGACAGGGGACTGGTTTTGCTACCACAATGCTCCTGCTCATACAGCCATTTCAATGTGCCAGTTTGGGGGCAAAAAACAGCATGCCTCTCTTGCCCCAGGCACCTAACTCATGTACCTTGTTCGATGTGACTTCTTTTTGTTTCCATAAATGAAGAGGGACAAGAAAAAACAATTTGAGGACACAGAAGAGGTGAAGAAAAAATTGTGGGAGGTGCTGTCAGCCATTGTGTTAGTCTAGGCAAACTAGAGAAACAAATCCACAAAAACTCATATGTATATAAGAGAAGGTTTATATAAAGGGTAAGTGTACATTCAGAAAGCATCCCAACCCAGTCCAGTACAAACCCATAAATCCAACTTAGCCTATATGTCCAACACTGATCTACAAAGTCCTCAGACTCACAAAACACACAATGATGCTGAATGCAGGAGGATCACAGACCAGTGGGTAGAAAGTCATTGAATTCAGTGGCAGTGTAAGCATCTCAGCGCTGGCAGGGGTCTCCTTGAGGCTTATCCAGCACCCAGGGCTGCATCGGGGTAGGTCCATGTGGCTTCTCCTCAGGGATGTCTTGCAGGAAGTGAGCCTTGCAAGCTGAAGCAGGGAACAGGCTAAGACTGCCGCTCCCTGGTCCTACTATCAGAGAGCAAGAGACCTGAGAACCAAAAGGGCGAGGCCATTTGTCTCTCTGCCCTTCAATTAATCCACGTGTTTATCAGCCAGGTTGGCACAATAAACCTTAACCATATCAGCCATCCAGATGAGTTTGAAAATGTTTCCAAGAATGGAATCACAGATTAGACAAATGTATTAAGTGTCATGAAGAGTACTTTGAAGGTGATAAGTTTGTTTTGTAAAAAATTGAAATATATAGCTTTGAAAAAAATTCTGTGTTTTGAGGGGGACCCCCTCATACACCCACTGCCATTCAGATTGTTTTGATTTACAGCAAATTTACCAGACTTTAAATCTTTATGAAAACAGATTGACCCAGCTGATGAAGGTTAGTGGGCTTGAAATATTGACTTTGCAATTAACTCAATTCGTAACCCACTGTCTTTAAGGCTACTGGCTCTAAAAGTAGATACGCTTATATCCATATCTCAATCACTCTAAATGTTTGAACACTTACTAGGTTGGTAAGTTCGAGGGTTCCATTCACCTGTACGAACTGAACTATCCTCACTAGATAGGTACATTAACGTTCCCCCCTTTTTCAAAGGAAACCCTATGAATTGAATCAACTGGAAGGCAGTGGGCTTGGGTCAAAATCCAAGGAATAGTTTCAGAAACCAGAAAGAAAAAGCCAAATGGAGCCCTTTGTCTTACAGTGGGTATTCTCTTGTGAGCTTTTGGTGAACCGTAGAATCCATATGTGGCGTTCAAAAGCAAAGAAAACAAAACAAAATAAATATGATCATAAACGTCATGGTCCAGCTGTCAGAATTGTGACTGAGATGAATTTAGATCCTCCAATTTGACCAACTCTTTACCTCTGGCCAAACGTTTGTGTAAAGTGATTAACAGGAAACACTTTAAGTCTATGCCCATATGATAATGTGGGTTAAGTGCCTCCTCTAGATAGTTCTCTAGGCTCTGCCCATACATACATTAGATGCCCAGTAACTTTCTTTATCCTTTTAGGACTGCGCCTGCGTTCAGAAGATTTGGTATGTGACGAGAGGGCATGGCTGGCTCACAGGTAGGGAAATAGATAAATGACGTGGGATGCCAGGGTAGTTTGGTGAAGCCATTCCTTCTGCTTCCATATCTCCCTGCAAAGAACCCGGTCGGACTGCTAGTTCATGTTCCGGGGCTCAAGGAACTTCTTTCAATGTGGGGACAATTCTCTTCTGTTAAGAAGTTTGTTTCTGTGATTCAGTGCATGCCTGCTGTGTGCTATATACTCTGTCAAGTTCTTGAGACCATTCTCTTTATTATCTACAACATCTTTGGAAATTGATTTTGTTTTATCATCACATTCCAGTGTCCAGTATACTTCCTGACATGTTACAGGCGTACCATGAATGTTTGTGAATGAAAAAAAATGAATGCTACTTCCTTAAAAAGCTGAGCATGTTAAGGGGGTGGCAAAATTTGTTGACACTGTTTGTTTCATTAGTTACAGATTTTTTTAAATTGTAGTTAACTTGTTTCTTGTCAAGTTAAAAATAGAAAGCATTATCTACCTTCAAGCATTTTCTCAACTGGAAGGTAGCTTTGAAACAGGAATTACTAGTATTACTCTGACAATGTAGGAAGGGGACAGACCACCCCCACCACAGCAGGCATGGTAATCACACCTATTGAAACTGGTTGGTTGAATAGACCGAATTTAAAAGGGGCATAAAGGAAATGGCTCTATTTCTCCCCAAGCGAGGCCTTCAACTCTGTTGGATTGTCTGAGACTGTAAATCTTTTTTTTTTTTTTTTGAAGCTTCATATTAAACTTGTTTTATTCAGGTTTGATTTTAACAAATGCGTTGGGGAGAGGGCTCAAAGGAGAAGATGAAGCCCGTGGGGGCAGGTCCATCCCAGATGCCTGAGGAGGGGGCTGGTCCCCTCCTTTCTCCTCTTCTTCCCTCCCTATCTAAAGGGGGTGTAAGGGGGAGATAGGCAGGGGAGGGGCTGGTCCCCAGTCTGTGGGGTGGTGTTTGGAGGGAAAGAGATACAGGAACAGGAGACCAGACCAGGGACGAGCGAAGGAAGGGCAGAGGACCATGACCAGAATCCATAGCGTTCTGATTCCAGA